ATGGAAAATAGAGATCCTATCATATAACAGATATGGATTGTAAGTGTTTAGAATTATGAAATAAAATGGTCATTTCTGTAAAGCATGTGACAGAGTGACATTAAAGATACTGGGCTTTTGGAGCTGGAGAGATGGCTCAGCAGTTAAGAACACTGCTCTTCCAGAGGTCCTGAGTTCAATTCCCAGCAAACACATGATGGCTCACAACCATCTGTTTGGACTACCACTATTTATAAGCTGTCCCCAACCCCCACAGTTCTGGGTCCTTGAGGCTTCCTAGACAGACCAATGCTGACCTCTCAGGAGAATGGCAAGTGTTGCTGAATGGGGTGGAGGGATGGACACCAACCATTTCTTCCATTTGACATCCATTAAGTGGATATCAGTTGAATGCAAGGAGATTCAAAACTCCAGCCCTGAACGCTGACCATGTGGGTGTGTTCACAGGTACAAAGAACGTACAGGATAGATAAAAGAGCTAGGGGAAGGAGACTCTTTCTCATTGGGTTCCAGTTTTTGGCCTGGAGAGCAGCGTGGGGACCTTTGGTTCTTGGCTTTTTTGGCTTCTCACATAAGTGATTTCTTCCTCAATAAAATATCTTAGGGCATCCCTATTTTGTGTATCTTAATATTTCTGCATTACCAGCCTAGTTACATAATAAAAACTTTCTTACCTGATTACTAGAAAGCCAAATCGTAACTAGGGCTCTAAAAATTGCTTTCCTGTAATTATTTTTGAAGAGCATCCATACAGTCAACTTCAACAATAGATAACTCCTAAGTCAAACTGCATGGTCTGCTGAGCATATCACAGAAAAAAACTAATGGTGGGCCAAGGACACCTTTGCAGGAGCAGCATGCTGAGAGGCGAGAGAACGGAAGCAAACCTCCACTCTGGGTTTTGGCTACAAAACCAATTATGGATCCCATATAAGCTACTCAACGTTACACAGCACTGTCCCAAAGTCTCTAGTTAATGAGATAAGCTGTTTCCCGCTGCTCAAAATATTAAGGTGAAGTTTTTATTTGTTTTGTTTTGCTTATCATCCTGGGGATCAAACTTCACATATGCTAAACAAGAGCTCTATATTCCCTGCCCTCAGGTGCAGGTGAGTTTTTCCTAATTAAGTATCTTTTCATTAGCAATACCCTAGTTCATACTTACCCATTAATTTTTAATAGGTTATCATTAAGTATAAGTCCCTATTAACACATAAAATTTTGTGAGACGTACCATCTCTGCAAAGAGGCTTATGCTTTACTTTCGAGATACTGTCATAGAGAATTATCATACAAAAAACTTGGTTAATCACCGCTCATAACCTTATTTCCCTGGTGCATTTTTTAAAAATGAACTACAGTTGAAGCTAGTTTATTTAAGAAAATAAATACCACCTTGTATAATCCCTCTCAGAGTCTGAAATTCTTTTATGAAGGCTGCATAATACCAACAGTGAAACCAGATAGACACACAATAAATGCTATAAACCAATCTCACTGACAAATACAGATGAAAAAAAAATCCCGATAAGCTATCTGCAAGCTGGAGGTGGAGAGCAAGCTCATAGTGAAGAACACTTCCTGTTTTTACCACCTGGACCTCCAGCCCAGGTGCCCTCTCCTGACTGTCACAAACACTGCACACATGTGGTGCATATGGACACACACAGGCAAAACACCCACAAACAAAATAAAATAAATAAATGCAACTTTAAAAAACACTTGTGTGGTAGTTCAAATGTAATTGGCCCCCATAAGCTCAGAGGAGCCCTAAGAAAAAATGGCAAACTGAATCTAAGAGCACATAAAAAGAGATCGTCCACCATGATTAAAGTTGGCTTCATCCCAGAGATGCAAGGACGGCTCAACATATGTAAATAAATACAAATAATTCCCACATTTCTATTCCTACTTACAGGCATTTTACAGGTTATTGTCGTTTTAAAACTGGTGTTTTTAATTAACCTAATCACTTTTGCTACTTCACTGCTATTTTTACATGTGAGAGTTTATAAAATTAATCACTTGCCTCTTCCTAGTTCATAGGACTTTTCAAAATAATATACAGCTGATTCATTGTCTCATAAACGAGTGAGTAAGGAAGAATGCATATTAAATGTACACAAAAATATTTCTCAAATATGAAGCAATGACCACAGTACTCCAAATAGCCTTGGGATCGTTATATAGGAAGAAATTATTTTACTACTTCTCCAGATAACTCAGAGTCAAAAGACTTGAGTTAGAAGAATATGTTTCTCTATCTCTACTGACAGTAAGAAAAAACTAGAAATAGTTATTCTACAGGACCTTCAACAACATCTACTTCCAAAAATCATTTGTATTATGCATACTAAAACCATTAGAGAAAAACATGGCAAAGACAGATGTATGGGGGGGCAGCTTCAGAGATTTATATTAGAATTTACAATCAATTTTGGTTTCCACTTTTTTACTTCCACTGATAATTTATTAGCTAACTTCATTAGACATTTACAAGTATATTTTGGTGTCTTATCATTCCAAACTGGTTATGAGAAGAATACTTAGTACTAAACCTATTATGCTTATGAACTAAGGCATAAGTCAATATGAAAAACAAAATCCTATTTTATTCTCTCATTCAATATGTATTTACAGAAGCAAAGTGTGTAGAGGAAAGAACTGTTTCACTTTATCCCATTAAAATTCGGTGACTGAGTCTATAAAATAAGGGGGTAACAGGTGGGCTAAGAGGACAAGAATGCAGAGAAAGAAGAATGAATACCCCACCCACTAAGACCTACAAGCTTCTACCCATTCTTCTTAGGGGAGAGAAAATGATTTGGGGGCCAGCTCAACAGGCCTAAAGAGCAAGTACTAGCTTGTAACTGTATAGGTGTGAGGTCACACTCTCGTCCTCTCTTATGACCTGACATAAAAATTATGAAGGAGTTACATGGACATGATGACAATAGACTCCTCTTAGGGGACATGAGAAATCAGGTAAAGATAAATAAGTATCTTACAAATCTCAATAAACTGCAGGAGGACACAGGGTAATCTCTGAGAAGGAGGCCTTTCAGTTTTCCGAACTTTTTTTATGAATCCAATTTTTATTAGGATGAACTATTTTTTTAATTAGAGAAAGAAACCAAAATATGTCTATAATTAGATATGTGTTTTGTCACAGTAACAGAATAAAACCAGAACACAGTTTTAAATAATAAAAGTAGTATATAGGAATTTTGAATTGTTTGATTGGAATAATATGCTTTATTTTATAACTAGGAGTAGGGGCCTTGTTGCCATATTTATTGATAGCTAAATGTAGAGCTTGGAAAAAATTAAGGCATACCTTCTTTTAGCACTTGTAATATATTTTTAAACTCTTGTCTGATGTCTAGTCTATTACTTTGTAACAGATTTTTAAAGCCTTGTCTGATGTATCAGTCTACTTGTAATGATGTATTTCATTACCATCTATTATTAAGCTAGCTCTTCTAATGTCACTAAGATGAAACGTGGTCACTTAGAGTTCCCCAATTTCAAAGTGCCTTTATAATGTTAATATGTTGTGCTGTTCTAGAAAAAAAATTAATCAAACAAATTCCTAAGTTGTCCAATTTCAAAGTGCCTTTATAATGTTAATATGATGTGGTGCTCTAGAAAAAAAAAAGAAAGATAATCAAACCAATTCCTATGTATTTGGGAAATGCATCAGCAGTCTTGAGCCTCAAGTTTGAAAGGCCCAGTCTGTGGAGATGGAAACAGTCCCTTCTTCACTTCAGTGAGTCCTAGTTACATCATTGACTGGTTTTCAAATTCTATAATCTTGTTTCTAGTGTCACTGCAGGCTGAATCATTCTTTCCATAAATGGCAGAGACTCTGATTCTCTGTGGTTCTTTTTATTTAATAGAACTCAACCGTCACTTTAAGTGAAAAGAATTTTGATGGACTATGAGAAATTCCTGTTAATGAAGGCTATGTCCTTCTGGCCATGAACACAGGGTGCCTGGTACTTGCTAGCTCCATTTAAAAATTGAATTATTTTGTAAAGTTAATTGTGAATTTCCAAGTATCCTTTAAGCATTATTGAATTCATTTACTCATTCTGCAAGACAATGGCCAACAGAGGAGGCAGGGAAAACTCTGAGTCAGTCTCTTGACAATTACGACAAAGTAGAACTCAGCCAGTGAAGAACATTCAGATATTTGAGTTTAAACTAAGCCCCAATTCAAGGTTTCTTTCTCATTGTAGTGTTTAATGAGGCTTGGAGTATATTCTTTTTAACAATAACATTTAAATACTTCTCTTCCTAAGGTATTAGCGTTCTGAATACAGATAGTGAACAGTGAAGAACGATGTGTAAGATATGGAAGTGGCCAGGGATGAAGTCATACTTATCCATATACCTCCCGAACCATGGTGGGACACAGACACGTGCTCAAAGGAGGTAAAGGGGAAGAGCCAAAACGGGCCAACCATGTGACAAGTAGAACTGCATGTCACAAAACAAAGGAACAAAGTTGGCTAGGAATGTGTGGGGAGGGGCAGTAAGTGGCTTCACTCATATTTAAAATATCTTCAGATGAAATGTCCTGATAATCAGTTTCTGAACTCTGCAAGAAATATACCCCTTTATTTATAGAACCTATTCCGCAGTTTTATTTACACTTAAAATTTTGTTTAAATTTTGCCAAAATCATATTTTAATGAAGTTCTAGGAAATTACTAGAAAAAAAATACGTTCACTTCCCAAGTCTTTTTGGTTCTATAGCAGATACAAATGCCTCTGAAGCTATGAGTTCATCAGTTACTATTATCTTGAGAAGTATTCTAGTAGTATGTGGGGCGGGGACTTCCAGAGCTTACACATAAGAGTTACACTCATGGGTAAGTTGCTAACAGTAAATTAAATTAACCTCTACTTAAGCTCAGCATCATTTTACCTGTACCTTAATGGAATGAAGGCAAAATTCAACATAGAATCCATAAAATGAAGTGACGAAGACCAACCTTTTATTGCACCCACAATGTTTTGGTCTAGTCCTTTCCGGTTGTCATTGAGTCCTCTTTTCCTCTTGCCATTGGGTAAGGAGTTAGCCAAAGTCTTGTCATCAAAAAATGCACACACCAGTTTTCTAAACAGAAGACTTCCTGAGCGAGTGTAGTTTGACAATATAGAGTCCAGCTGGGATTTAGGCATAAACACATCAAAGCCTTCAGCAAGTTGCACTTCTGGCTACCAAAAGAATAGAAATATTTCATTAAAAGCAAGATGTGAAACATTTTACTTTGGGCATAAGTGCAACAAAAATACCAGTGGCTACTGAAATGTCCACGATATCTGGTAAATTATACAATCTCAGTTATGTGTGCTAGAATTTACAGTTTATACAATCAACAACCACTTATAACTTACAAAATGGGATGCTGTAATTCCAATGGTAAGTCTTATTCAAACACAATGAAAACAAGTTTCTATTCATACAAACATTTCAGGAGGCTGGACAATGACACAGTAATACAATTAAGGAGACATGAATTACTTATATGCAAAACCCTCACTTAGTAAATGAAGAAATCAAGACTTAAAGAGACAATACCAAAAATGACTTCAAAGTAATTCAAATGCCAAATAATTTCTTTCACTTAAAGGGACAAATACAGGACTACCCCACAGGTCCCCGGCTCCTTCTATTAGCTATATATTTCATTTTACCACAAGGAAACTTGTATAAAGTGACAACGCAAAATAAAAATGGCAGCTGGTTCCACAGTTTCAACCCTCCCCACACTTACTTGTGGGAGCAAAGTCCCAGTACACCATGGAGAACCATTGCATTGCTTGCCAAGAATTTCCTGAAGCCCTGCAGGGTGCCTTCAGAGAACATCCTAGATATTTGCAACCTGCCTTTTCACCTGGCACTTTTTTGCTCTTAGCATTTCCTCCTCAGAGCTTTTCCTAACTCCTTCCTGCCCACAGAGGTAGCCATGCACTGTCATTGTTGATTGTTTAACATAAGCACATATTAGTACTTATTATGTGTTGTATCTCTGGTGTCTAGTACACAGTAGGCACTTAGTAGACTTAAAATTTCATTAGCCATAATCTAAATTATCTTAGTATTTATATTATTACATTTATGTAATTTCGATATGAAAATTGCATTGGATAGATTTAACGAGAATGAAAGGAATGCCCTACTTACACAAGCTGTATACACAATCAGCTCATTCCTAAATGTCATATTTGCAACTAGGTGAGGACTTGGGGTCAGTTTCTCTCCTGGTAAACAGAAGTTACTTTCTGCTTGTTCTGCTGTGTTCAAATGCTCAGCACATTCCATACATGGCCTACATCATTATTTGGACAACCAAGGAAGGTGCTTGTGTTTTGGCCCTTGAAAAAGGAACTTTAGACTGGATTATCCAGAAAGTTATCTCAGTTTTCTGTTCCACTTTGCCGTTGAATGTTTGGTTTCTGAATGCCTGGTAAATATCACTGTAAAAGCAGTGCTGTCAGATCTCCCCCCTGACTTTTGCATCTTGCTGCTTTCTGGTCAAAGGTCTAGAGGAGCTTGACAGGAGCCAGAGGCTGAACACCTAATTCCTGCAACAGAATAGGCACACACCACACACCAGGCACTGAGGAGACACTTGTCAAGTGAGCCAGTGCGCAACCGTTAGGATAAGGCTGACATGAGGTTTTATTCAAAATCAAACTTTTATTTTGCATAGCCTGTGAGCTTTAATTCTAAATGAGCTGATCTCAGAGTTTTCATAGGGATCCCACGATCGTGTACAATCCCTTAGACGCACCCCCAACCCCCCACCCCGGGGGGCCAAGAGTACCCTGCAGCTATTTGACCACCTTGGGAAGTACCAGAGAAAGGGCTGCAACTTATTTAATGTAACTCCGGGTTGGAGTCTGATACTACTAACCTGGTGCTTAAAACTCAGTCACCTGACTTCTGAGACTACCAGAATTTTCCTGGGAGGACTTGGACCCTAGCTTCAGACCCAAATAAAACACCAGGCAGAACAGCCACTCCCTTCTTAATGCCTGCAGAGTACTTTCTGTGAAATGTGTCTACAGCACTGTTCCACTGCATTTATTTAGTTGGGATGCTGAGCTCTTATTATGTTCCGTGTGCCAAGAATCCAGAGGGCATCCAACAGGTGTGTACCAGAATAAACAGAATGCTACACAGAAGCTCAGCACAATGACAGGTCAGAGATTTCTTTTCCCTCTCTACAGGAAATGGTCTGCAAGTCTTATGCTGTGACTAGGCACACGCCAGTGTCTTAGAATGACTTGGAGAAAAGTGACCACCTGACTCAGTACCTACTTCCTAAGTACCTTCTCTGGGGAGGGATTCAGGGCTGGCTCTGCAGCCAGGACTCACATAGACACCACTACATCTGCATGGAAGGGAGAACACTACCTGAGAGGTTCTGAGCAAGGACTGTTAGTGCTAACATCAGGCAGGATTGACTGGAGGAAAGGGGATGCCAGAGGCTGGGAAACAAGTGGGATAATACTTCAGTAGGGCCAGGAAGATAAAATTTAGGAGACTGCAGTATAGTTATTATTTGTGGCATTTTCTATGATGCCTAAAAGTATACATCTGGAGGTTTCTGTGGAGCCAAAACTTCTTATGGCATTGTAATCCTATGGTGTGAGATGCAGAGGGGCCACAGAGGGCTGGCGCTGTTGTTGCATTGCCAGGCTAACACTGCTATTTTGAACTGATCTTTCCAATTCAAGGAACATGAACTCATCCACTGGCTTGTACGTTATGGAAGAGTACATAGTCTGAATAGCTGCAGCAGGCAGCAGCATAAGGGCAAAGGTAACTAGCTCCTCCCTGCTCTTCCCTATCTCCAAGTCAGATTTCTTAGCAGATAACAACAGAGCACTAAAAATGTTTAAAGTTACCACAATGCACTAATTCCTTCAAAGAAAAAAGAAGAATGTTATGCTGTGAAACATGAAGAAAACATGATACTAATTATCTTGTTTTCACTATGAAACCTTGCCATTTGTTCTACTTTATAAGTGTAATCATAGTACATTATCACCATATAATGAACCACAACTCTGCATATACATTTAAAAACAGGTTAAAACACTTCCTCTAGTTGTAGGATCATTATCTCTTTTTGTTTATTGGCTTCAATTTAAATGAGATCTGTTTACTGGTAATAGTTATAAAAATAAACACTGTTCTAAATAAGCATCACAAAAAAAAAACCCTCTAGACTTTCCTTGACAGATTCATTATTTGATGCTCAAGCCAAGACAGATAGCTAATATACTAATTTGCAGAGTCTAATGTTATGGAAATAAGATGATGTTTAAATGATGACATCCAAATTATGGGCACAATTTGCAATGTTTACAGTAATTATTTTTAGGGTTCACTATGAATTCCTATTATGCAGTGTCTTATTTTAGGTATCTCAGCCCCTGAGTTCAATATCTCAGTATTGGAAATTCCTTATCCAGCGTGACTTCATCTTACCCTGGTGATGCTCTGGAAACAAAAACTGTTCCGTCCTAATGGCTCTTGAAAATGTCTCTGGACCAAGGACAGTGACGTTGACTATGCTGTTTCCTTGCATTTTGGGGGTGGTGTTCCTTTTCTTAGACTTAGTTGGAGTTAAGATCTAGTTTAAGTGATAGATTTTTCCAACCAGGTAACTGGAAAGACACCTCCCCCACCCCTGCCACACACAAGTCTTTATGAGCATATCATAAGATACTTAAAGAGATCATATAAAGGACGCACTCAGAGAACATATCTGATACAGGCTATTTTACAGAAGATATTAATAGTACAAAATTAGAGTAAGACATTTAACAAGCTGCATGTGCTTATGTTGGGCATTAGCCCCAGATTTTCAACTGTAAATTAATAAATGATACACAAAGACTTTACAAGCTCTGTGTTGTGCAAGACCCACATCTAGATCATCTATAGGCACGTTGCACAAGGCTGTGTGAATAAGGAGATATGAGGTGGGTACCAGGGTCAGGCCCACTGGTTAATGAAAACCACAGAAGAGGTGAACTCTGCTGAGTAAGATGGACTTTATGTCCCCACCCAAACATAACACAAGACTGACAATAACGTTAAAAGACACAATTAGTTGTCTGTTCCTAATACCACGATATATAATGGGCCTTTGTCCTATTTAGTAGTGTATTTGACATATTTCTAGGAAAATGAGTTCCAGCTTATGAAAGAAAAAAAATTAAAACAAATAAAACCCATAACACCTGTTTTTGTTTTGCTCGTAAGTGTTAATCTTTTTTTTAAAGAAAAACTAACATTCTATCCTACAAGTCCACCCTGGGTAGACTTACTATCACCATTCTGTAAATGCTACCTCAAAGCACTTGGTCAATGTACAGCTGAGGCTGGGGTCAGGTCTGCTCTGGCTTGCTCAGCAAGTCTGTCTGCTATGGTAAGCAGTCCAGCACAGGTGTGGCCTAAGGAGGAGGCTGAGCAGAGAATCCCCAGTGGTAATGGAACAGAAGATGCTGCCTGTACTCCATTAAGACCAATATTGTAAGTAGATATTAAAAAGTGCTTAGCCAAATTTCTGTGAAAAAGCAAGTGTAATAATCACAGCACACATTTAATATTGACTAGGATTAAAAGAAGAAATCATTAACATTCTAATTCTTTTAAGTTTCTTTGATAGAATTCTGGTAGAATTAAGAATTTTAGAAAAGATAATACAATTTGGTTTCTTTGTGCATTTGCATAATGAGAGTTTCTAGCCTTTCAGAGAGTGGTGAGCCTTTTCCTTCGCAAGGCTATAAATTCATGATTCTGAACATTAAGTCCTGATTTATGTTGAAGATGATTGAACTAAATGGACAATATGTAAGATTTTAACACCACAGTGTAGTTTCTTCTTCCCTAACTCCACTGAAATTGCTCCTCTGAGAAGATGGCCATGTGGGGACTCTTATCTTTGACCTTCCAGGTAAAGAAGTCCCATTCTTCCCAGTTTTTAGGAGGCATTCTGGCTGCCTGTACCAGGGCTGTACCGTATGATATTGCAAGAATTGCTTGCAGATTTCTCCCTGTGCTCCTTAAAGAGCAAAGACTATTATGTTCCCTCAAAAGCACCCTGGAAAATAGTGATATAATCAATATTTATTTGTTACTTACTATATTCTAGGCCCTAGGGCAGTGGTTCTCAACCTTCCTAATGCTGCAACCC